AGCCATCTGTCTGAAATGGTATAGGGTTAGCCATCTGTCTGAAATGGTGTAGGGTTTCCTGCCTGAGCAGCGGGTTGGACTCGATGACCTCCAAGGTCCCTTCCAACTTTATTATTATTATTATTATTATTATTATTATTCGCAAATTGTCTAATTAAAAAAATAAACAAAGCAAGCAATTCTTTCTTTAACCAGATAAATAATATTTAAGTATCATTTGCAAGAATTGGCATGTTTCCAATGTGCATATATATTCATATATACATATTACCAAGGTCTGTTTTCAGGTTATTGTAATATGCGGGTTTCTCTTGAACAATTTTCAAAGTAAAGGTATCTCAGATGTACTGAGAAGATGATAATTTATAATATCTTTGAATATGCTTCTCTAGAATGTATATACCTGTTTCTGAACATCCTTTTTGGGTGATTTGTTTGTTTAAGCAGCAGGCCTTCAGCAGCCATGTTCTATTAAGCTGGACCAATGATTAACACAGGGGCTTTCCCCCACTGTTGGCTTGTTGTAATTTTAAGTTAACAGAGCACTAAACCAACATGAAATGTGCTATCCCCATTGCCAACTGTCAAATAGGCATCATGGTGCTGTCTCTGTTGCCTGTATCCCAGTCACTGACATAATGGCAAACTAAAACAGATTTGACTCGCCTTGTATTTGCTGTGAATTGTCAACTTAAGAAGAAAAACATGACTATGCCTGCCATTATATCACAGGCTATTCCCAGATTGGTATTGGTTTTGGCATCTTTTGAACATGCTGGCAACCTGGAGAATTGATTGCAAGCTTTTTTAATTCAATCTTTACTATTCCAAGGTGTGTTCCATCATGTAGGTCCAACACTCAACCTCTCAGCTTGGAAAATCTGATCGCTTTCAATCACCACACACAATGCAACTGTCAAGTAGGCATCACAGTGCTGAAAAACCTTTATATATGTTTCAGATATTCTGGGTTGCTGTACTTGTGTATATTTGAGACACTATTCTCCTTGTTTCTCTGCAATGGAAAATTTTCAGTTTTGGGGAGAAAAATGTCAATAGACTCTCCTTTTGATGTGGATTTTTTAAATTGTTTACTCTGTTTAGGTAAATGCCACTTAGAGATGAACTGCGAAATGAGAGGCAGATATATTTGATGATAAATAATAATAGTAAAATGAGACAATCTGTCTGCACATCTCCTATGCAGCTCTCCACTGTATCAGTACTAAAGCAACCTAATGCTTCATTTCATTAGTACTATAAGTGGACTCATTTTGGAGGACTGAAGAAAGATAGTAGTGGCTAATGGTTGATAAGGAGAGTAAACTAAATTTTGTATAAGTGCAGGTTGAAATGGTAAATTCCCAAACCATCTCTGTACTTTCCTGTCTATTTAGAAATAATTTCCTTCACATCTGTGAGTAAACAACATAAAAGCTATTGGACAATCACTCTAATCTTTCCTAACATATGACATAACCGTGCCAATGCCTTGTGAGGCATTACAACTAATTTCATTGGTAAATATGAATTTGAGTTTTGTGTTTGATGTTACCATTTTCTCTGCTTCCATTTTGTCCACTCTTATTCCTTCTTCTCTTGTCCTTAAATGTTCAACACAGTATATACATTTGACCATAATCTGTTATAATAATAATCTGTTCCTAAAAGGATCATAGCTGTGAATGTTTTATGGCTTTGGGGCATTCATTCCTGTTTGGTTCTTTTCTATACACCTGCTTAGTCCTCAATGCCTCAATGGTGTGGTTGTAATACCTAATTCTAATTTTAAGGAACTCATATTTGTGTCAATGTGTTCTGATGACATTGTCTACCAATTTCTGCATTCCTATCTTGAGGATTTGCAGATGCACCTTATCATTAACTCCAGGGACATTTATGTCATCTAAACAGGAAGCCATTGTGCACTTAATCCATGGATGTCTCTCAAAACACTAATATAAATGCCATTTCTAAATCATGCATGTTACAACAACATAGCCATTGGTGTGTATGTTTATGGTGAGATGAACCTTAGAATCTTCTTCCATTTTCATCTATAAACAAACATCTGTTAAGTTTATTTTGCTAAAATGTTGTGTTCCATCAAGGTTAGCAAAATGTTTTCAATTTTAGGCACAAAATATTGCTTAACTTCTAATAATGTATGGATAATAACTCTAAAATCCCCACAGAACCTGAGTATTCTATGCTTTTTAGCTTCATCCACTTTAAATGCTATCTTAAACATTACATTTACCTTTGATAAAAATCTTTTTTGAATATTTATTTCAGAATCCCACAATCTGATTTCTCAATGCATCATTCAACCTTTCACCAAATATGCCACATTTACACATCATTTAAAGTTCAGCTGCATATGCTGGAATTGACTCTTTTTCTTTTTGCTTGCAGTTATGAAACCTAAAATAAAATCCTGAAGCAGGCATGGTTTGTATGCCAAATATTATTTTTACCAGTTCTGCAAAGCTGAACTGTGAGGCAGTTAAGTTTCTCAGTAAACTATATGCTTTGTGTCTCATAACACTCAATCAAACAGGCACTTTTCCAACAACTATCACATTTGCCTCAAAAAAAAATTGTTCAAATATTTCAGTATTAAATGTCCAGTTATCTGTGGTGTGATCAATCTAGTCTTTCCCCCAAAGATCCTAGCTGTTCTTCCATCTTTTGTTTGTTTATTACCATTTCTCCTTCTCTGGAGATAAGATGACTCTTCAAAGCTTTTTGTCTGTTTTTAAAAATAATCCCAACTTCCATCACCGTTATTATGTCTTTTTTGTTAATTAAACAAAAGACACAAGAGTCAGAAGTAGGATTTTCTGTTGTTTTGCTTCACTGAAGCTTCTAGAACAAATTCCAGCAAGCCTGCAAGAAGGACAAAATACCCTGGCAATCCAAGGCGATTAAGCAACAATACAAAATTGCAGGTATGCTTAATCATTTACTAATGACAAAACCCCAATACATTTCATCTTCCCCTTAAGCTGATAGCAAACTTTGGCAGTTTTGAGGTGAGGGGCAATAACATTTTTCTCTGCATATACTGACAGTGGGATAGTCAGGTAATCTGTAGGGAACAGTATGAGGCTATCTCTTAATGGCCACTTAGGGCTGGCACTGTTCATCTCACCTCTGGGCCTTCCTTCCTTCCTTCCTTCCTTCCTTCCTTCCTTCCTTCCTTCCTTCCTTCCTTCCTTCCTTCCTTCCTTCCTTCCTTCCTTCCTTCTCAGGTGAAAGCATGCCTGATAGAGAAAACATGTCTATTGTGTTACCGATTGCTTCCCAATGACACTGGATATAGCTGATTATAGGACAAGGAAGGGCCACAATAACAAGGAGAACTGGGCAAATCTATCACTTTATCATTTACCACCCCACAAATCAGATGCAGAACAGGTCTGTAGGCCTGTGTGGTGAGGGCAATTGGCAATTCTGAAGAAGTCTTCCTATCCTGTTGATTAGCTGTTCTCAGGGTGACTTTAGCTCTCTTTTAAAATAGTGCTAAACCTCATGTCAAAATAAGTGTGCCAAACAGCTGACTGTTGGACTGAAGTAGTTGTGCAATAAAGCCAGGGATCTTCTCCTTTAAAAGTCAGCCCCTACCCCCACGCCATGTCTGGTGAGCTTGGGGAAGTACCTGGTTTTGATAGATGGTTAACCCTACCATCTGTCAAAACTATCTGCCAATCACACCAGAGTTATATTTGGCAGATGGTTTCTTCCTGATTAGTGACATTGAGAAATTGGGGACATCAAAGCTGGAGGGTTTAATCAGTGTCTTTGCTTAACACGCTATGCATATTTTCTCACATGATTTTGAATCCTATTTCCGTAGCCTCTATTTGGATTCCTTCTGGATAGTAATCAGCAATGGGGACAGCAAATGCTATGCCAGTTTATTTTTCTGGTGGCTCAAGGATGAGGAGGAAATTTTTAACTGAGCCAGAAGGAAAGTTCTTAAAAATGGTTTGGACCATCTATATTTATGGTCTCTTTCCAGAAAACAAACAAATTCAGTTTGGATATTCTCTGAGGGGAAAATGTCCCCCTGTGTACTCACAGTGATTTGATGGCTCCCTTTCTCAATATTTTATCTTTATGTTATGTTCATCTGGACATGCAGTGTTGCAAATAGGAGGAGAAAGAAGTATTAGGTATTTTGCTCCTTAAGGTATTTATAAAAAAATAACAAAAGTGGGATAATAATAAAAAAATCACCAACTGATCAGCATTTTCATTTGCTTTCATTTGTTTTCAATGCATTTTATGCAAAAATAAGACCAAATTTCTATTAATTTACTATTTATCCACATCCACATTTGCTTACTTTAAAAAGCTGTGCACCTTAGATAAATATAAACTTTATTCCTGGTTTCTCCTTGGGGACTCCATTTTTGGTGTCAAGAGGTGGCAATTTTCTAAGTCTTCAGATGAGAGCCATTAATGCATTGTTTCATTCCAGCACCACCTTCTCCTAAGGATCAAACTACACATTATATTAAATGCATGACTGCATTTAATGTTGCCTTTGTTTTTAATTGCTGCTGTAGGGTGGGACATAAAGGTTGGGATACTAGTGTAGTGGAAGGGATATTTAACCTGTCTCTTCATGGGAAAGTGCTCACAAAGTGGATTTTTCTCCAATTATTTAGCTTTCTTCTTAAGACAAGAGGTTAAAATACTTTATTTTAAAATAATGATGACTGTCTGCATTTTCACAAGAAAATAGTGTTATCTGGCTTAGTGGCAGCATATCCAAAATTAGTACATACAAAAATAAGCGAACACAACAGATTTACAGGTCATGTTTTAAAGTAGCAATGGAAGTTTATTTTAATTTCTAACAAAAGAAGAACTAGTAGTTAACTGAACAGAATAATGGAAATTCCTATTCCCAGGCCAGTTGCCTCTTTTGTTAATTTTATACATTATGAGCACATGTTCTAGAATACCCAGACAGTAGGATGTTTATAAGTTTAGAATTCAGGTAAAAAATTGCTATGGGTCACTACTGGAGGCCTATTGTGTGTCAGCCTTCCCAAACCAGACAGAAAACACAACCAGATTCCACTCTATTGTAAGTCTACTTTAACAGAATCATTCAAGTCTGAAATCTCCCGTTGTCTCCTGAGAAGTTAGGGAATGGTCTCTTCCGAGCTTCTTTCTCTGGTCATTATGCTATGTCCTCCTTTATTTGACCATTCTCTAGGCAGCATTTTCCCCTACTCTCAAGGTCATTCCCACATACCATTATATTGGTCATTCCCACATACCACCATCTTTAGTGGCATCTGTTTAGGGGACTGTTTTCCCCACTCTCCAAATTTCCCCACATTTCTGCAAGCCTCACCACTGCATTTCAATCCACTATGGAGTTAGTTCTCTCAAAAGCTCAATCGTAATGGCCTGAGCCACAGAAATTCAGAAGTCAAGTTATGAAACACTTAGCTGAAGTCAAGTTATGAAACACTTGGCTGAAGTTGGCTGTATTATTATTTGCTCATTTGATCGTGCTTCTTTTCACCCTACCAGTTTCTGAAAGGTTTTCTTCACATCTCGTTCGTCATTAGGAATCTGGCAAGCTTCCTAAGAAGTCACATTGTGTTTACAGAGGGCCAATGTGGCATGTATGTATGTATTTTGTATGGAAACAAATTGCTAGCAAATTCTTTTAACCTCTTGTGATTTGAGTATATTTCTTTTTTTTTTCTTTCTAATTAGGTTTTCCAAGATTTGCTTGAGTGCAGTTGTGGAGGGATCAATGTCTGAATGGCAAGAACATTGGCTGGTCAGCTTGGAGAGCAATAATTGATGGGATGGCTTGTTCAGCAAACTTTCCAGCATCACTCACTCATTGACCAAGACAGTATCACAACAGCAAGATTTAGTGTAACAGTAGGTGCTGATCTTCTGGAAGAACTCAATGAAACAAGAATAATAAATGTTAGATAGCAAGATTATATATAATTGGCTACTGCTGTGCTTTTAAGAGCACTTGGAAAAGAGCACAAAACCCTGGCTCAGTGGAAGAATCTCCTTTCTGAATAAAAAAATAAATAGCAATTATATACAGAAGACATTCTTACTAAGTGAGTGAAATGATAAGACTTTCTTCTCTAGGTAACATATAATTTTATCACCCTGTTAAGGATTCAGCAACAGTTACAGTGTTTCTCAACCTTGACAATTTTAAGGCATGTGGACTTCAACTCCCAGAATTCCACAGCCAGCATTGCTGGCTGTGGAATTCTGGGAGTTGAAGTCCACATGCCTTAAAATTGTCAAGGTTGAGAAACACTGAGTTAGAACTAAAAAAATGTTGCATTTATGGGAAGGAAGGAATCATCAATAATTATTAGGTTTTTGTTTTTTTTCAACTGTCACATGAAGACCATTATATCAGCCTCTGAAGAACAGTTTGGTCCCAGATCACTTAATGAACCAACCTCAGTGGCATGATGAATATTTTTTCCCACGTTAGCTGTAGCTGATATTAAGACATTCTTGTCATCTCTTGGAAAGCTAGATACTCAGGATTTCATAATATCCTGTAAGCAGGACCCTAAGACAGCAAACCATGTTAAAATATTGACACTTTTGTGTAGCTGTTTTGCTCTCCAGCACTTCTCATTTTAGTCAGAGAATACTGCCCAATGGGAGCTAGTAGGAGTGGGGGTGGCTTTTAATTTTCTGTTTACTTTCCCATTGAATTTCTTTATGAGAAACTTTTGGAAACCCTTCCTTCCTTTCCTTCCTTCCTTCCTCAACTCCCTTTACTTTGGCTTACACTGAATTGCATTTGATAATGTCATGTTTTATGTTTTGTTTATTGTTTCAAATTCTTATTGTCCCCCTATGTTAAGCTAAATAAATAATTTGGGTGGTCTGAAAATTATGCTATCAAAGAGTTCACCCCTAATTTTAAGGATTTTTGAAGAAGTTAAGATGCACAAGTCAGAAGACAGAGCCCTGTGGGGTTTCTCTTATTTATTCACTTTTTTATTGTGTTGGAGCTAGCAGATTTTAAGATCCAAAAAGAGGACATATTTGTATTATTAGAGGGCAAGCTATCATAAAGATGCTGCCACAAATATGGGATATTTCTTGAGTCCTGCTATGTGACATTGTTTTATAGAAGGGTACCAAAGCATGCCACCCTCTTGGATCTTGTGTGACAGCAATTGGAGATAGATAGTCCAGCAAATAACTTGACCCTTTGTCATGTAATAACATTTTGTCTTACTGCGTTGTGTAAACTAGTTTATTTGGGAATAACATGTTGTCAACATGCAGTAGTTGCTATTTGTAAACCTTTATCTGGATTCGGTATGCTGTGTGAACTCATCTAGTGTGACTTATTTAGTTTTGGCTTTGCACATTCCATGGACATAGCCGCTTATAATTTAACAAACTATTGTTCAACCCTGATTTAGCATGGTATGCAAACCAGGTCAATGAATCATAATTTGGATTCAGGAATAGCACTGGAGCAAGAATCTTTTTCTTTGTGCTCTGTAGAAGGCCATACACATTGCTAGATAAGAAGCTTAGCTTGAGGCAAAAGTAGCTCTTCTTAAATGTTCTTCTTCCGGCAGAAATATAGGACATTCTGCTATACAACACACCCTTTGTCTGATTCTGTCTAATCATTCTGAGCCAAACTGTAATTCAGGAGCAAAATTTTATTCTAACTTTTTATTTCTATGGGGACAACAGAAGAGCACTCTGAGTATTGGAAGAAGTAGGTTCTGGGAGCAGAAATATGAAGCAGGACCTGGACGTCATTAACATGGAAGGATATTTCTTTCTACAGTTTTCAGGATGAGAGCACCTGCCCAGTGATTTGGGAGAATTAAGCCTGCAGGTTCTGTCAAAATATAGAAACTGCAACTTTCCCCATTGCCTTTGTCTCATTTCTAGGATGGAGTCCTTTCTTCAAAAACTGCAAAAAGCCTTTTTCTTCAGCTTCAATGGAAAGTATCCCTAGGATTGAGCTTACTGTTGCCTTCTCCCCATCTTGACGGCCTTAAACACTGATCAGGTTGGCTGCATGTTCCAGGGCAACTAGGGAAGGAGAAAACAAGAATGGTCAAGTATGTTTGAGAAGTCTCTGGCTTTGTGTGTAAGATATGACTGTAATAATCTATGACTAGAAGACAAAATGGAGATGTGAGAAACTGCCTGAGCAGAGGCGTATTTCATGTATTATTTTTTGCTAACTGAAAAAGAAAATCCCGATCTCAGAAGAAAGCTAAGCAGTGATCTGCCAATATGTTACACTTAGTTTAACAAGGTGATATGTAAATATACCACTGAATGCAAGCAAGTCTGCTAGTACAAACATTTCTAGGAGAGCTATTTTATTATGACTGCTTCGTTCTTGTTGAAGCTATACTTTGGTTTTCATGATACAGCAGCACAATGCATTGTAAAAAAAAAGGTCACAAATAAAAATGTTGTCATTGTAGAAGTGAGAAATAAATATAATGTACCCAAAAGGCTTTCTGAAACAATTGTTTCAAGGAGAGAAGCTACTCAGGGCACATACATTGCATCTGTGAATGTTTGCACATTTATTCTTTAAAAAGTTGCACTTAATCACAATCAGAGTTCAGAGTTTGTGCTATATGACATACACAGGCATCTGTCTGTGTGTAGGGACAATGGTGAAACAAGTGTCACAATATCCATTTCATCTTTCTGGCAAAACCCTCAGATGTTTGCAGATGTTTCTTCATACACAGGAATCAACCCCTAGAACTGGATCATAGCATGTAAACACAAAGTCCAATGATTCCAGACCTCCCTACAATTGCCTATTGTAAACACGCAATAGAATAACAAGCAGGCAAGGAATGGGTCATTGACATGTGGTGAAGAAGCTAGGAACAGACTGGGGGATGAACGTCAAGAACATGGACATGTGGAAGAGTTTATGGATAACAACCAAATAACCTTTAAACATGGTTGTGTAAACAGGCCTAGGAGTCGCAATGGAATAGTGATCTAAGGAGGTGGTGCCATTATTCAAAATCTGATACTGTCTCTTAGGCTAAATAAAATTGTTTTTATGATCTGTTTGTATGCCACTCAGAGTTATATCATGTGAGATAGGCAGCCATATAAATATGGTTGATAAATAAACCAAGCACATAGGTGGGTTGGAGAGCAGGCAAATGAACGATGGGAAAATGATAGCAGCCAAGTAGTATGGGATATTGCTAATCATCTTGCCCTCAGCTCCCTCCAGCCTTGAAGCATGACTTTGTAGGATTATGAAAGAAGATGAATAAAGATAAAAACTTTCAAAAGAAGAAAAGCATCTTTTGCTCTACTTTCTGGTCATTCTGGGGACATTCAGGAGTGTCTGTGTAATGTGATTTTTTTTTTAAAAAGTCAAGAAAATAGCTATGATTGAATTGTCATGGTGGCAACTGAAGCGCTGCTTGGTTTTGATGTGCATTGTGGAGCTTCAATCACACATGCTTGACTTTTTTTTTTTTTTAAAAAAACCCCATCTTGTGGATATCACTGGGAGTATTGCAGATGTTTAGTGAGAAGCCAACTTCCAGAATTAGAATCTAGTGATGAAATTCAACAAATACTGCTTATGCAGCATAATACTAGAAAGATCTAGTGTAAGTGCATTGAGTTCCACACGAGCCTGAATCCAACACAGAAGCCAGAATGAAAGATTCCTTAGTACATTTTTTAAGTTTATGAAATACCTGAATAGGACTAGAAAGCTACTGTATCCTCTTTCTCCTTTTATCTGGCAATATGCAGAAAAACGTAATATATGGCATATACTTATTCTTCCCAACTGCAAATTGCTAAAAAAAAAAAAAAAAAAAACCCCCAACTGCACAGGGCTGGGGATCCTACAAAACTCCAGCTGTTGCTGATTTATAACTTCAAGTATTTCTCATTAATGGTCATGCTGGCAGAAGCTGCTGCGAATTAATTCTTCTGCTACATCTGGAAGGCCACAGTTTGCCATCTCTGACATAGCATTATCACAGCATGCAGAATATGGAATGAAAATCTCACTCTGACCTGCTTTGAGGTTGCTCCATCATGAGTACAAGTCACCAACAGTTTTTGGAAGACAGAAATGGATGCTGTCATAGGCTGTTCTTTTCTAACTCTAGTTCTTCCAGCCCACCACAAATGTGACTTCTTGCTTTGAAAATAATTATCTTTCTGGTTTATGGTGGTTCAGACATTGTGATCCAGTTTACCCGCTGTGCTTTACTTTCTTCTAGGCAAACCTGGCAGAAATGTTTGTTGTTATTGTTATTGTTGTTATTATTATTATTATTTTTTGTTGAACCATCTACTTCTCTTTCTCTCTTTTTTTGAGCAAGTCCATTCATTGAAAAATCATATTAATGCTCCTGTAGACATTTTTGACTGAAGGATTTACCTTTGTTTGTTAAATGCTTTAAAAAGGACCCAAATATAGCCCTGTAGATCTCTTCTTTTAAAAATAGCCTCACCTAACCTATAGATCTCATTGAGCAGGGTTAAGGGTGCTCTCATATAATGGGGAAGCGTTAGTGTTATTGGTATTAAACAATTAGCTGATAATTTAATTGCATGAACTCCTCCATAAAGAAAATAAAAGGAGGTCATAATGCATCATTTGTGTGAAGAGTGAGTAGACTACACTGAAAGTGGGAATTATCTGCCATCTAGACTGATAATAAAGCCTGTAGCTGAAATAGCTCATGGCATTTACCAGAAGCTATAAAATAAAATGAAATAGTTCAATCAAACTAGCTGGGGAGTAGGCATCAGCTAAGTAGTGCAGCTGAAGAATGATATCTTGTTTTGCCCATTGTTTCATATCAGACTTTGAACTAGGCTCAGACTTTGAACTCAGCTAGAGGTGATTCTTTTGAAATATCTGCGGTACTTCAAAAAAGTTCTCTAGACTGACAGCAATGAGTACTTTATTGCCACCAAAAAATCTATCATTTTGAGAGATTCTAAGAGCACAAATAAATGAAATGAAGAAATGAATCTTGAAATCAATAAAGCAAATACT